GAATGAATCACATGGCCACCAAGAACGAAAAAGATGATGCAAAGAGTGATCAGAAAGACTTCTTGCAGTTTCTATTGGAACTCAAAGACAATGAAGATAGCGCCTCATCTATTACAACGAATCAGCTCAAGGGCATGCTGATGGTAAGTTTTGTTATCGTACCCCGATTTTCCTTTTTTCTTTCTTTTTTTTTTCTTTTTGGGTACAATATACACCTTTTATTCCTGCTTTCTGGTTGGGTAATGGATGCTAATAATTTTTAACTAGGACATTGTGGTGGGTGGAACGGATACTACATCAACTGTGACGGAGTGGACAATGACAGAGCTCATACAACATCCAGAAATAATGGCAAAAGCGAAGAAAGAATTAGCTGATGCTGTTGGGCTAAACAGCACTGTTGAAGAGGATCACTTGCCTAATTTAGGATACCTACATGCGGTGATAAAGGAGACCTTCCGATTGCACCCGCCCCTGCCCCTCCTTGTGTCCCGTTGTCCGAGTGTATCAAGCACTGTTGGTGGCTATACCATACCAAAAGGTAGCAGGGTCTTCTTGAATATTTGGTCCATTCACAGGGACCCCCACATTTGGGACAATCCTTTAGAATTTCAACCTGAGAGATTCTTGAATAATCCTGACAAATTTGATTACTACGGGAATGATTTTCGGTACATGCCATTTGGCTCTGGTAGGAGAAGGTGTCCAGGACTTCCTCTTGGGGAGAAGATGCTATATTTCATGCTGGCCTCATTGCTGCATTCTTTTGAGAGGAAATTGCCTGTGGGCACAGAGCATGACCTGTCCAGCAAATTTGGAATTGTTATGAAAAAAAAGAAGCCTTTACTTCTCATTCCAACACCAAGCTTACCTAATCTTGAACTATACATAAAGTAACTACTATAATGTAGTCGTACTAAACTATTATTCTATCTCCTTTGTACTCCTTAGATTGCTTTTTAGCAAATTTCCGTTGCCTATAGAATAGTAGAAAGATTCAGATATCAAAGCATGTAATATTTTCTTAATAACAAATAAATTTGCGAAATAAACAAATAAAGTAATTAAGTGAAAAAATATATTGATATACGTCATTGAGTCAGACGGCTGGGATTTTGCTGTAGGCGCATCGGCTAACGAACCAGGGCCAAAAGCCTCAAACAACCCCTGGCGCTAGAGCTGTACTCTTGAGACTCGGGGTGGGTACTACTCTAATATGGCATAACCATAGAAAACCAGGTGATCCGTGGGGGCTGGCAATTTGGATTTGTCACCGCTGCTAGTGTTTTGGTTTCAAATGGAACAAAGAAGCTGGGCTTTCATATGCTTCTCAATTTGAAGTACTGTTGATTTTGGGTGGTGAACTGTTGTAATTTGTAGTAGACGATCTTACTCTCTTTGTCCAGTGTATATGTAGGTTCTTCAAACTTCTGTTCTTTTGGAGGGTTATGGATTGAGGTAACCCAACCAATTTTTAATGAAATCTTTATGGCTTATCAAAAAAAAAAAAAAGATCTTACTCTCTTCTAATTGCTTCTTGTTTGCATCCAAGAGAGGAGACACCAGCATAGGCCCGAATACAGAATATTTATAAAATTTTCAATTTGGGCTCTACAATGTACCATGCCCATCAAGAGGGTCACCATATCTTTAAACTCAAGCAAATGCCCGGTTCCAATATATAAGGGTAAAATGATAACGAAGTCTTGCCATATGTGGATGCTACCCAAACTTCAATACTTTCAAACTCTGTCCGACTCCTTACATGCCGCCACCATCGATCCCACTCCAGATATCTACCCTGTAAACTGTGTAGTTTCTTTCCGTGCACGTCTCTGCACATGTTGCTTCCACTCGGTCTCCTTCATTTTCCCACTCATGATTCACCAGTCTAACAACTCCAAATAAAGCCCTCGAGCTAAGGGCTAAAGTCCTTGTCTTGTTTACTTGGCTTTTTCCTCAGTCTGTACTTTAATTCCGCTTTTCAGATTTCTCTTCCACTAGTAGTATTAGTTTTCCGTTTCCAAATAGCAATGCCTAATTAATTATAGAAGTCGTGATCCCTTAAGCCAGCAATTCTAACACTTCACTTCATTTTCCTTGATTTACATCCTTCAACAAATCAATACTTTATTTTTTTAGATGATGAGACAGAATAGAGCAAGCTTCACGATCTGTGAATCCGTGGCTTGTAAGACTCTTCTATCTATGTACTATCTTCATCTGTTGAAATCTGAAAAGCTTTTGATCGAGCATAATTAAATTTGTCATTTTCATCACCATCTTTAAAACAAAATTATTAAAAACAATTTTTTTCAATAAACTATTGACACATTTTTTTAAATACTATTAATTTCATAAATGAAAATAGAGTATCAAAAATCTAATTCAAGAGTTTCACTTTGACGAAAATTTGACCTAACCGAAGAATCATGCCAGCAAGAGTACATGTCATTTAGCTAAAACTGGTGATCCATATGTTGTGCTATTCCCTAATCTTCCCTCCGATTTTTTTTTTCCCTATTAATAACGTAACGTAATTAATGGTGTTTGGCGGGGGCAGGGCTGATTTGTGAAGTGGGAGCATTTCTCTTCATCTCGTGGATTTTTTTTTTTTCTAAAATGGAAACCTTTTTTTTAACAAAAACCAATACCTATTTCCTCAAGCCCATTGGGTTCGCTTAAAAGTCTATATATATAATTAAGACCAAAAAGGCCAAACAAAACTTTGCTTTCCTTATTTTGGGTCTAATGAAACCAACAGGACTTTGATGTTTAATCGAACCGAAACTACCTTTAAATAATACTTTTGTACTATTGATTATTACTAAATGACCCAACAACCTTTTGTATGTAATTTTTCATTTTTAGAAAAAATAAAATAAAGATGGAAACATTTATGAACTCATAGCTCATGTTAGGGATTCAAACTCTTAATTTTTTAAATATTAAAATAATAATCTCACGATTGTAACATATTTCAGTAACTTGTTAATATAAAAAAAGAAACAGTTAAAGGAAAAAGGGCACAATATGTTGGCTTATCTATCGGGTCCAATAGATGAAGGAATCTTTTTATTTCAAAGTTAAAAGAGGATTCATTACACGAGGAGGGAAGAAGATGTTTTCCCCCTACCCAAGAACAAAAGTCATCCTTATCTATATAAAACCGAAATATTGGTTGGTATACTCACATCTAGATCAGTATACCCTCCCAATACCTCGCCCTTTGATGATGGGTTCTTATAGGCAATGTACGTATATTTTTTTTCTTCAAACAGTTACCTCTAGACAGATATCACAAAGATGTTCATGATGAAACCAACAAGTTATATAGAATGCTATAACACATTCATTGTTTTTTTTTAATTCTCTAAACCATTAGGTAAATGTTCATAAACTTTGATGATGAGTTAAAAAAATAATTAAAACACTCTATACTAGTATTTAAGCTGTCATGTCAACAACCCTTTATAAAGTTAGTTAAGGATAATTCATTTAGTTTCTGTTTGGTTTATTTTAAAAAGAAAAATAAAAAAAATTAAGAGAAAAATTTTGAAAAAAATTTGTAAAATAAAATTCCTTGTTTTATTTGTATAACTGAAGGAATAAGAGGAAGAAGTTTTTCCTTGTGCATTTCTGTTTAAAGTTTAAAATTTTCAGATTGAAAAGTTTAAAGAAAATGTCATTTAGCTTATTAATTAGTAAATTGTCTTCTTGAGAATAAGATCCAAATCTCTTTTTTTTCAATTATATAAGAAAAAAAGTTTCAAAAAGATGTTGATAATATCAGTCAATCTATTCAAATTCAAATAAAGTTGCCGATTAGTTTTATGCAAGTTTGGACTTAAACATTTGAGAAATTTGCAGAAATAATGCGTTAGAATTTTGCGGCTTATAACCAATGGAATAGGTGCCGAATGATGATACCAGGGAAATTTCAACTGACCAGTCGACATTAGAGACTTCGCAGTTGGAAAAAATCAAAAAGTGTATATGGATAATGAGTTCATGCAATCGCGTCGCTCGAGGGTGACTTTTGACCGGGTAGGCGAAGCAACGCTATTGCGTTGGTGCTGCCGTTCTTAGATTCCGAAATTAGGAGCTTGACTGAAGCTCCATGGTAGCAGAATCCGCCAGAGGACAATCAACTTTTCGGTGTTCAATGCTAATTTGGACAGGGCCGGCTTTAGCATAAACCCAGCAAACTCTTAGGCCTCACAATTTTATATAACATAATTAATTTTATTAAATATAGTAAAAAAAATTAGAGATTTGGTTCAAAAGATAAATAAGTTGAGAAAATAAAAAGAAATAGAAGAAGAAAAACAAAGAAAATAGGAAGAAAGGAATGAAGCGAAAAACCAAAGTGGAAAAACTAATATTGACAGCAGCATGAAGATTTCACTCCCGAGTCCGTCCAAGTCCACGGCTGCGCCTCCTCGAATCACGGTACAATGAATCCGGACAACCCCACAACTCTTTCTATCCCTTTCCTCACTTTTTCCAAGAAACTAATTATCCCTCACCAACCGTGACAAAATAATACCATTTGCTACTTATTTAGCGATCTCATTTTGTTTAACCTGTAATGGTTCAATTACTAGCATGGAAACTACAACGCATTTTACAAAGATGCAGTTAATTGTTCGACTCACTATCATAGAAGTGTTATAGATTTGCGGATAATCTATGGATGTCTAGATGAGATCGTATAGAGCACGAAGCTTGTAGGGAAGTCTTGGGGACTATGGCTGTGCCCGTCTACTCTGACTAGTCTGCGTTAGCATTTAGCTTAGTCGTTTGACTTGAATTCTAAGTTACAACCACGTGCTTTTTCTCATCAGGAAGAATACATAGACCATTGAACATTCTTAGTTTTTGTCCTCTAGTCACCGTAAATCCTTTTCATTTTTCCATTTGCCTTTTTTGGGAAAACGAATGTTGTAGTAGTATTATAAATCACGCTCACTCCTGATCGGCAATATCAGACCCTGGCTGTGTGCACTTCCTGGTTACCTCAGTGTTTCAACTTACAATTTCTTGTTTCACCTCCCAAAGCAACAAGATGTTGCACACAGCTTACAGCTCGTGTTCATGGCTCTGGAATGCTAGCAACCAGAAAGATGGACTGTTTCGAGCTGCTTGCTCATTTCTGATTGCCATATTAGCAATTTCACTCTGGCACATTAGGAAGGCGAGGAAGTCAATCGCGCCATTGCCGCCTAGCCCACGTGGCTTGCCATTGGTGGGATATCTTCCATTTCTTGGAACGGATAATCTTCACCTGGTCTTTACAGAACTGGCTGGTGTCTATGGTCCTATCTACAGACTTTGGCTTGGAAACAAATTATGCGTGGTGATTAACTCACCCTCGCTGGCAAAAGAAGTGGTTCGTGACAACGACATAACATTTTCTGAGCGGGATCCTCCCATTGCTGCACAGATTTGTACCTTTGGCTGCAATGATATTGTATTTGATTCCTACAGTAATCCCGACTGGAGAATGAAGCGGAAAGTTCTTGTGCGCGAAATGCTTAGCAATACTAGCATCAAAGCTTGCCATGGTCTACGAAGAGAACAAGTGATGAAAACCATTACAAATGTGTATAAAAATGCTGGCAAGCCAATTGATTTTGGTGAATTATCATTTTTAACATCAATCAATGCGGTCATGAGCATGTTGTGGGGAGGCAAACAGGGAGGAGATCAGAAAAGGAATAGAATTTGGACCGACTTTCGAGAGCTTATAACACAGTTAATGGTGATATTGGGAAAACCGAACGTTTCTGATATCTTCCCCGTGCTTGCGTGGTTTGACATACAAGGAATTGAGAGGGAAATGAAGAAAATCTCTCATTCGTTTGATCAACTTTTCGACTCTATGATTGAAGAAAGAATGAACGTTGGCACCAAAATGGAAAAAGATGATGGAAAGACTGAACAAAAAGACTTCTTGCAGCTTCTTTTGGAACTCAAGGAGAAGGATGATGGCTCATTATCAATTACAATGAATCAACTCAAGGCCCTGTTGATGGTAAGATTGTTCTCTCATACACCATTGTTTCTTTTCTTTTCTTTTTTTTGGATGCTAATAATTTTTAATCAGGACGTTGTGGTGGGTGGAACTGATACCACATCAACAATGATGGAGTGGACAATGGCAGAGCTAACGCAACATCCAGAAATAATGGAAAAAGTGAAGAAAGAAATAGCTGATGTTGTTGGTCCAAACAGCTCCGTTGAAGAAGTTCACTTGCCTAATTTGCGCTACCTAGATGCTGTCGTGAAGGAGACCTTCCGGTTGCACCCGCCCCTGCCCCTGCTAGTGCCCCGTTGTCCGGGCCAATCGAGCACTGTGGGTGGATATACCATACCGAAGGGCACCAGGGTCTTCTTAAATATCTGGTCCATTCATAGGGACCCATATGTTTGGGACAATCCTTCAGAATTCCAACCTGAGAGGTTCTTGAATGATCCTGACAAATTTGATTACTTAGGAAATGACTCCAGATACATGCCATTTGGTTCAGGAAGGAGAATGTGCGCAGGAGTTTCTCTAGGGGAGAAGATGCTATATTCCACCTTGGCCACATTGTTGCATGCGTTTGAATGGAAATTGCCCCAGGGTGCAGAGCAAGATTTGTCCGGGAGATTTGGACTTATTATGAAGAAAATGAAGCCTTTGGTTGTTATTCCAACACCAAGATTATCTAATCTCGAGCACTATCTAAATTAACTTTATAATTGTATTTCTCTGCACTAGATTGCCTCTTACCAAACTTAGTCGTCTAATAGCATAATTCAGGAGACAGTGTTGTGTAATATTTAGACAATAACGCCTCATTAAGTTTGTTGAATAACCAACTAAAAATAATGAAGTAAAAGAGTATAATTCTCATTGAACTGGCCAGCTTTTTTTCTAATGCATGGATAAACAGGCATTGATCCCAAATTAAGTGGAAACAACAAGCTATACGTCCAGTTGAGAGCAAATGTATTTAGAGGTGAGTAAAATTGAATCAGATCAATTATTCACTCGAATCAAATGTTATTTGCATAAAATAATTCATCTTACTAGGTCAATTGATTTACAATATTTAGTTCAATTAATTTATTTGATGGATTCTCGATTTTAAAATTTGCAAATTAAATTAACTAAAAAACTAAACTAATTTTTTATATAAATTAAAATATATAATATTATATATATTAGTTTAAATTTATATAAAATATAATATATATATATAATATTTTTAATTTTTAATTACTATTTACTAAATTGCATTCCTCACCTTTCACTTTTTCATTTTTATTTTTTAACCACCTGTGCTTTACTCTTTTCTTTTTTTCTCATCTAGTAGCCTTTACCCTTTACTCTTCTTTTCTGTAAAACCTAAGCTTAAATCCTAAACTCTTTAAACAAGTTGATAATTTACGGCGGTTAATGATTTTGTGTTAGATGGTTTTATATGTTGTAGATGTTAATTTTATTATTTTTAACTTTTTGTTATGTTAAATTTTGAATGTTAATTTGATGGTTTATGTGAAAAGACATAATTATGTAAGTGAAAGAATAAATGTTATAATTTTTTCTAATATTAAGATTATTTGTATATTTTATAATTATAGATAAAGTTTATAAATTTTAGTATTATAATTTGCATAAAAAATGATAAAATTTTAGTTCATTGATTCAAAATTAAACTGATTGAACCAATTTAATAGTTAATCAATTTTATTTTTTTTATATGTGATCAAATTTAATTAATTTTGTAAACATATTTAATTTTTTTAATCTTTAAAATGACAGAACATATCGATTAAATTGCTCAATTGCTCACCCTCGTATCAACAGTTCTGCTGGTGGGCTGTAAACCCAATCTACATGGCACACGCGTAAAGAAAGTTTGCACCCAAGCCTTGCTATCAGAGCTCCCTAATCCTCTTTAATAGCCTTAACAACCTCCAAGTTGCCAGTTCCAATCAGGCACATATCGGCCCCAAGCTTTTTGGGTATTCGGTTTTCAATTGTCTATTTTACCCTTCTTGTCTCTTTCTTATCATTTTAAATTGATTTTTACATAATTTAAAAGAGTTAATTTTAATATATTTTATACTAAAATTTTAATATTTCTTTATAAAATTGATGTTTTATAACTTTTAATATAAAAAATCATAAAGGAAATAATTTTGAAATATAAAAATACAAAAAAAAGAAAGAGTAATATATTATAATAGGTGTTTAAAAAAGAAAAAGGAAACATTGTTTTAGGACATTAGAAAATATTAAAGAATGTTACGTAGAGACTTTTGCTTCTAATTGTAACATTGACAATCCTTAACTCCATCTTAATTTCATCCCAAATCTATAACAACGAGTGGACCACTTTTTATCGATTTTAAACCTCATCTCCTTTTTCTTCATTTACTCACCTGCAAATCTTGCCCGTGCCGTCCTCCCTTACGTCTCTTTCCTAACTTGCAATTTTCTTATGTACAATGGGATTCACGTGCCGACAGTTTGTCCCTACATTTTTCCTTCGTATTTTCCTCGTTTTTTATGAAGAAAAATGAGAAAAAGATTGATAACAAATTTTAATCATGGTTGTATTCAAATTCCCTTAGTAAGTCCGGGTAACTTCAACTATTTAAGGTATCAAATGGTTTCAGCTTTTAAAGTAACCAAACTCATCTTAACCCTTCACGTTCTCACTCGTTTCAATCTTTTGCGATGACAACTCAAGACTTCTTTCACAAAGGAGAGAGGTTCCCACAAATGACAGTCCTTTGTATTCTTATTACATTATTACTAGCCTTGTGTTTGTTTCCACGGTCAATCAAGAAATTGAGGGGATCAGGAAAGGCAAAGCAGCTACCGGGACCCCGTGGCTTACCCCTGGTCGGCTACCTCCCATTTCTCAGTGGAAACATCCACAAAACTTTCATGGAATTGACCAAGATTTATGGTCCAATTTATAAACTTCCGCTTGGACAGAGACAATGTGTGATAATAAGCTCTCCAAACTTGGCAAAAGAGGTGGTACGTGACCAAGACACCATGTTTGCCAACCGTAACCCGACCATTGCAGCACTGGCTTTCTCTTTTGGTGGAAAGGATATTGCTTTCACGCCTTATGGGCCGGAATGGCGGATTCTGCGCAGGGTATTCGTCCAGGAAATGCAGAGTAAAGCAACCTTGATGCCTTTTACTCTCTACGAAAAAATGAGGTTCAAAACAGTGTTAGAGATGTACTTGGGAAGGGTGGAATCCCCATTGATGTTGGACTTTTGGCGTTTTTCAACAGTGATCAACATGATAACTAGCATGTTCTGGGGTGGCACGATTCAAGGAGACAAAGGAGCTGGCACCAATGCCGAGTTTCGCGCAGCAGTGTCGGAACTCATTGTTATATGGGGAAAACCAAATATTTCAGATTTCATCCCAAGTCTGGCGAGATTTGATGTACAAGGAATAGAGAGGGGTGTGAAAAAGGCATCCAAGAGGATAGAACAAAATTTCGATTCCGTGATCGATCAAAGGATGAAAAAGAACGAGGAAAAAGGTCAAGGCACAAAAAAGAAAGATAGTAATGATTTCTTGCAGTTCCTTCTGGAGTTCAGAGATCAAGACACTGGAAAGTCACTTTCCCGAGCACAAATGAAAGCCTTCCTCGCGGTAAAGTTCCTCCTCTCAATTCCCATTGACTAGGAAAAACAAAAATTTTAGTATTCCAAGTGTCCAAGACACCGAGTAATCTTTTTGTTTTGTCTTTTTCAATTGTTAACAGGACATTGTACTGGGGGGAACCGCCACAACCTCGACTGCTTTTGAATGGACAATGGCGGAACTGATGCTTAACCCAGAAACGATGAAGAAAGTGCAAGAAGAATTAATAGAAGTTGTGGGTGCTAACAGAATTGTTGAAGAATACCATATTTACAAATTGCCTTATTTGCACGCAGTTGTGAGGGAAGCATTAAGATTGCATCCACCAGCTCCGCTGCTCCTACCCCGTTCCCCGACCCAAAGTTGCACCGTGGGAGGCTATACTATACCAAAAGGAGCTAAGGTTTTCATGAATGCGTGGGCTATGCATAGGGATCCCCAATTTTGGAACAATCCCTTGGAGTTTCAGCCTGAGAGATTCACTGGTGATCATGCTGATAACTTGGATTACTCAGGGAAAAACTTCCATTATATTCCGTTTGGGTCTGGTAGGCGAATATGCGCAGGGCTTCGCCTGGGGGAGAGGATGTTGATGTATATATTGGCTACATTCTTGCATCTGTTCGAGTGGAAAATGCCAGATGGTGAAATGCCAGATACCAGGGAAAAACTTGGGATTGTGTTGGAGAAGTTAACGCCGTTAATTGTTATTGCAACACCAAGATTCTGCAACTTAGAGCTCTATAAATAGGAGTGGTCAACCGGAAGAATATATTTTTTTCTGGAAACTCTTGTATCCAAAATCAAAAAAATCTGTATATTGTATTTCAAAATAAATAAATAAATTTCAATTTCAAATATTATATTTTCATATTTGAGCATCCATCCTCCTCCCCGGAGTCGATTCCTAATCAACTTTGGTATTAGAGCCATTCCGGTTCAAGAGGTATTTATCTAGTCTGAAAACTTTTTGATTTTAATTTTCTTGTCTGAGTTCTGATTTTAAAAAATTTGCATGCATATTGTGTTGATTCTTGCTAAGTCCTTGAAGGCAGTATCATCACAGTTCATCATACTCATAGAAACCCCCCATGTAAGATAAGAAGATCTGAAGTTCAAAATGCTTCCATTCTTGAAAAACACCTCTTGTTCTAGTTCTGATTCTAGTATTCAAAACTCAGAAATCAATGAGGAAAATGTTCATTATGAAAATATAATTCAAGAAATAGATAACTGGGAAATACCTAGAGTTCCCCAAAGCCAAATTTACAAAACATCAACATTCCATTCTCTACATCTAAATTCTTTTTGTGGATACTTTATAAAAACCAAAGAAAGAGGAATCCCTATACAAAATCAGTTTGAAAATATCCCTTTACTAGATCAATAAACTATAAATAAATTAAAAACTCAAAATTATAATTATATCCATATCGGATTAATTCAAGTAGGAGCAAAACCGTTAACTAACGAAGGATTAGACACCTCAATATTAATTGTTCTAAGAGATAAGAGACACCTCCAATTTAATGATTCCTTGTTAGGAACGATAGAAACAAGTCTGTGTAGAGGACCAATACATTTCAACTGTTTTTCAAATATCATGGTTTCTTTAAATGACAGAAACATCTTAAATTCCTTAATACTTCAAATACAAACACATAATTATAAAATGATGCTTGGATCTGAACCTTTAACTGTTGTTTACAAATTATATTATAAAGCAATGTATTTTGTAATAAACACTAAAGCTCTAATCCACAGTCCAAGAGAAAAAACATTATTAATCCAAACAGATATGACTAGGTCACACACTGTCATACCTAGGACAATACAATGGCATGAAGTACAACTTCCAAATAGATGGAAAATAGAAGGAGCAACAAATCCAGTTCCCATACAAAACACAGAAATAAATCATGTGGCACAATTTAGAGATGGGTCAGTAAAACTTGTTTTTAACAGACCACCAAGAGTTCCATCCAGAAGATCTTTTGAAATAGTTCAGCTTCCAATATAGGAACAGACTTCAGGACAGCCAAAACCTCTGTATCCTCAATCCCTACAATTAGGATAAATTTACAATCCGTAAAGAATTCTCCAAACATACCCCAACCTGTTTATAACAGACAAGAAATTACCCCATCAAATTCTCCAAATATGTCTCCCACATATTCATCAATGACAAATAATCCTAATATAAATCAAAATCAAGAAAATGATTCAGAAATATTTGTCTTAGAAAAAGACTTTGAAATTAACAAAGATTGGTGTGGAAAACAGTTTAATTCTGAAAAAAACAAACAAAAAAGAAAAAATTATTTCAAGATTCATGACTCACAGAAAGAGGAAATATTACAAAACTATTACAAATTCATGGAAAAATATAAAATATTAATAGATTTCTTTGAATGGTTCGAAGAGTATGAAAAGCCACAATTAAATACCTTAAACACCACAAAAAAATGGCAAACGAAATAAAGGTGAGATCGAGTCAAATCATCCTCCCTTAACAGAAATCCAATATTCCCATAAAAATATAGGGATACGAGCAACCCCTTTAAGAATGAGAGCATCTGACTTAGGAGAACCTATCACCTTAAAAGATGTTAAAATGATAATAGAACAAAATAACTTTACAAACTTAAACTTGCATACCTTTTGAAATCCCCAATAAATACCAACAAACAAAAAATCAATTTTTACATGAAATAGAAAATAGGCTTGAAACTTTAGAAAGTCAATACTCAGAAATCAGAGTAAAAGATACCCCCCAGAGACATCCAAATTCACACATTAATACCATAAAAGAAGAACTGATTCATCAACAGAAAGCTTACATAGCCAACAGATAAATAAAATGATTTGGAAAGAACCTCAAAAAATATATTACCCAAAAATGATAGCCCCAAACATAAACATAGAAGAGAAACACTCTTTTCAAAATAAATATAATGCAAATATGATATATGAATGGAATATAGATGGAATGTCAGAATATAACATTCTCAACATACTTCAACAAATGACAATGGTCTCCAATGTATACAAAACTCAAAACCAAACTGGTCAAGTCACAGATCATGCAATTGCCTACATGTTAGTTGCTGGTTTTACAGGACAATTAAAAGGATGGTGGGATAATTATCTCTCCACAAATCAACAACAAGAAATCTTAAAAGCTGTCAAACAAGACACAGATGGAAATATAATAACAGACAGTCAAGGACAACAAATTCAAAATGTTGTAGCAATATTAATCTTTTCAATATCAAAACATTTCATGGGAGATCCCTCACATCTTAGGGATAGGAATTCAGAATTACTGTCAAATTTAAAATGCAAAAAATTAATAGATTTTAAATGGTACAAAGACATGTTCATGACAAGAATAATGCAGAAAATAGACAATAACCAACCATTCTGGAAAGAAAAATTCTTAGCTGGTCTTCCAACATTATTAAGAGAAAAGGTTAGGAATCAAATTAGAGAAATCTACAAAGGAATAATTCCTTATGAAAATCTAACATATGGTGAATTAATAAGTTTCACTCAAAAAGAAAGATTAAAAATATGCCAAGATTTAAAATTACAAAGACAATTAAAACGAGAAAGAAAACTATGTGGAAAAGAATTAGGATCTTTCTGCCAACAGTTTGATATTAAACAAGAATCTCCCTCGAAAAATTGCTGCACAACCAAACCTGTAAAACAAAGAAAACATAAGAAAAACTACCAAGAATATTATAAAACACCAAAATATAAGAAATACAGAAAATTGAAAAAGAAAAAACAAAGAACCAAATCAAATAGACAAGACAATAAAATGCTTTAAATGTGGAAAAACAAGACACATATCTAAATATTACCGAATAAAAAGAAAAATAAATCAACTTCATTTAGAAGAAGATATTGAGCAGAAATTAAATGAAATCCTAATAGAATCTTCCACAGAAACAGAAATATTAATAGAATCATCAGATGAACTACAAATAGATGAAATCAAAACTACATCTCAGTCCTCTTTAGAGTCTGAAAATAAAGATCAAATCCAAGTCTTAACAAAAGACCAAGAATTCATAATAGAAATCATAGATAAAATTCAATATCCTACTCTTAAGAAAGAATATTTAGAAAAATTAAGAGAAACAATAAAAATGACTGAAAACAAACAAACAATTGTAAAACTAGATCTCATATATAACATTAAAAATATAACCTTTGAACAATATGAAAACCTGAAACCCAAAAAGATAACTAAGCAAGAACTGAACTCGGAAATAAGAAAAATAAAACTAAAAATAATTCAGTTAAGAAAAGAGCAAGAAGATTTAAAAAGACAAATAACTCCTGAAAAATTAGAGCATGACCAAGACAGCTCTGAATCTGAAACAGAAAAAAATCAAGATTACATGATGGTACTTACAGAAATAGCCATTCAAAGGTACTTAATAAAAGTAACAATACAAGTCAATCAAGAATACAAAATAAACACTATAGCATTATTCGATACAGGTGCTGATCGAAACTGCATAAAGGAAGGATTAATTCCCACAAAATATTATGACAGAACCTCAGAAGGTTTAAAAACAGCAAATGGTGGAAAATTAAAAATAACTTATAAACTATCAAACGCTGAAATAATAAATCAAGGAATAAAATTTCAGACACCATTCTTAGTGGTCAAAGATATAACCCAAGATATTATTTTAAGGACACCATTTATATCAATGTTAAAACCTTACAAGGTCAAACACCAAGAAATAACCACAAAAATATTAAAAACTAAGATCAAGTTTCCTTTTGTAGAAAAACCAAGAATCAGAAATCTCAATTTATTAAAAAAAACTCTCAATACATGAACAACAAATAAACTCTTTAATACATTATAGGAGAAATCAAATCAATTATCTAAAGGATGAAATTTCTTTTGACAGAATAAACCAACAATTACAACAACAAGAAAACATGCAAAAAATTGACAAACCTAAAAAAGAAATTGAAACAACAATTTGTTCTGATATCCCAAATGCCTGGGAAAGAAAGAAACATCAAGTAACTCTACCTTATACAAAAGAATTGATGAGAAACAAATTCCTACAAAAGCTAGAGCTATACAAATGAACCAAGAGATGGAAGATTTCTGTAAAAAAGAAATCCAAGATTTACTAGACAAAAAATTAATAAGAAAAAGT